GTTGGATTACATCTCTGAAAAGCACTTCCAGTCGTGATATAGAACTTTCCTGCTGTCTCAGCAAAGCACCTCTTCCAGGCAAGTTGCACACTTATCAATTTCTAAGAGTCGCGCTCAGAAATGGTATTGATTTTTTCCCTACAATATTTTTGCAAGGTTTTTTGTCATTAAAAGAATGGGTTAGGAGTTTTCTGTGTTGTCTACTTTCAACTATTGAAAACTCCAAAATGAAGAAAAAGGGGAAAGAAAATACGAAAATGAAATCCCAAACACAGAATTTTCTGCTCTAGTGTAAAATTCAGTATTTTTAGGAAAGAAAAATAACTTACCTAATTTCCTTCCACCACCCTTAAAATTCTAGCTAAACATCATAATAATACCAAAATTAAGCTAAAACAGCATGTGATACTAAAGTATTTTTCCTTGAGTTCAATAACAAACTGTGTTAAGAGAAGAAGAATTATCACTGAGCTAAGAATAACTTCAAAAATGGGAGGAAGTCACATGAAATGATTTTTAATTTAGGAAAAAAGTTATGTTTTCACAATTTTTGTTGTAGAATATTTGCTAAGTCTCCAGAAACCCTTACAATTTAGATAACAAGAAGCTAAACCTTCTAGCAAAATGTTTGTTTAATAATTCCCAAGTGTGAAAATTAGTACCTAAAATAAAATGATCTAAACATTAACCTTTACCATCTTCCTTAAAAGAAATACATGTTTCTAAGTTAAATATAAAAGACGAGAAGAAGAAGAGGAGGAGGAGGAGGAGGAGGAAGAAGGGATTGTGCCCTTTCTCTGCAAACTGGGCTTTTTTCACGATTCATTAAACCCTTTTTCCATATGTGTAATTGGACTCTTCTCATTTACATAAAGGAGGGATGAGGCAAAAGACCTAAGATCAACCCAAAAGGAAAAATAACTTTTTCATTCTCCTATGTTAAAAAAATTATAGAAGAAAACTCCAAGAAGGCAGAGCTCCCTACCGCCCCACACACACCCACATATCCCAGCCCTGAAATAGTTCATGGCCAAGGAGTTATCGGGTTTGCCAGAGCCTTGAGAATTGCCCTGCACATAGTACCTCACAGTTATTATCAGAAAATCATGTTTTTATTTTATCTTCTCTATGTAAAAACTTGGCCTGAAATAACTGAATAGGACACCATATCCTATTTTCTCCCCTCAGTTTTGATTTGGGTTAAAAACCAAGAAGAAAGACTGCACTGTCTTTGAAAGAGCACAACTTTCTGCTTAGGCTTGAGTTGTCTGGCTGCTATCCTCCATTCAGCTGGTTTCAGCACCTGATTAATTAGTTAATTAGTACTTAGAGCTGACTAGCCCCAGTCTGCAATTTTCATGCCCTGCATGGTGAAATGCTGAATCTAACATTGAAATTTCTGTCGCACACCCTAATTATTATCACCCCACTACTTTTAAAACCATTGCACCAAATTATTATAATAGACAGAGCCAAACAACTATGTGGGAATATGTTATTTCTGAGAAATAATGGTAGACTTAATCAATATTTTTCACTGTTGCCCTTAACACATTTAAATAAAGTAATTGAAGGGGAAAAAATTCTAATTTAATTAGCCTCCAACTTCTACTATAGAGAAAATTTTTTTATATGGGAGACACATTAGAAAAATCACACCAAAAATTTTTAATGTTTTATCAGTTCCACAGATGGCAAAGAATGTTTACAAGATAACTTAACTGGGAGTAATATTGTTCCTCTATGTCTAAAATGTTGGGAATAAAACATAATAGAAACAAAAAAAAAATCATTTTAACTAGCTGTAAGGAAATGATGCTGTATGTGTTTTGAGTAGGGGACTTTTGATGTTTAAAAATAGTGACATGGTTTAGGAATGAGTTTTCTTTGAAAAAAAATTTTCCTTGGCTGCTGTACCATTCTTCCATAAATTTATATCCTGGCAAAGGTTAGATATATATCAACTAGGGAAAATAGATTTAGAAAATAATTTATGACACAAACCTAGAGGAGTTTAATTTTTGGCATTTCTCAATGTACCGTTACCAAAAAGGGCCCCAATGTGTCAATGATTTTCAATATTATTGATAGCTATTTTCACCTGAAACAATCCTTATATGCCAGTAGTGGGTTGCCAGTGATTGTAAGAGCTAAATGGTACACAAAACCGGATACACAACCACACAGATCAGTAAATGGGTAGGACTGAAAGCAAAAGTAAACACCAACCTTAGGAAATGAAAGAAGTTAAAAGATAAGTGTTAAGGACCTTATTCATTTTGGAGAATAAAACAAGATTTAGTAGCTTTCCACTTAATTTAAATGAAAAGAATCACTACCTTACATATTGCAGTGATAATGTAATGGGGAAAGAAAACAAAAAAGTCTTTGTACAAGTGACATCTCCTATAGTTGTTGTGAAGAAACTTTTCCCCTTGGTATCTGCTAACAAATTCTAATTAATGCTGCACATTCCTTTACTGAAATCATTTAATGCGTAACAAGGGGGGTAAAAAGAAATGCTGAATGCTGGTGATTGCCCTGTTAGAATTATGGTAGTGAAAGCCTGGGGCCCCAAACTTACTGTCTATTAAAGCCAAGCTTTGAAAAAGAAATGCAACCTACAAAAGCTGTCAATCTCCCTTGCCCCTAAAGCCTGGGTTCACATGGATTCAAGTGACAGCCCTCCTCCCCCATGCACAATACATCAATCTGTCTCTCCCACAAGCACCCACAGCCCATTGTGCTGGCCGCAGGTGCCTATTATGGCACCCATGGCTGCCTCCCACAGCTCCGCCCCTGAGAAACAGGAACTGCAGACAATGGAGCCCTGTGGGAAGACAGAGGTTGGTGTTGGGAGGGATAGCAGACAGATGGTAAAGGGTATAGGGTAGTAAGGTAGTTTCAAAACAAATGTCAAACATTCAAAATTATTGCTTTCATATGTCTCCCCTTTTGAATTGCCCTTGCTTCAATCACCATCTGCCATAATCATAAAAACACTTACCTGTTATGATGAATATTTGGTCCCCTTTTAGGGTGGTGATAGAGGGGATGACCTTCAGTCCTCTACTCCTATTTAACCTCTAGGCTTCTCAAGGTCAGAAACTGAGCAGTTTTAGTTAAGTGACACCAAGAGACTACATAAGAGAAAGAAATAATATTTCTAATTTTTTTGCAAAATTTGTTATTTCCCTTTGAGCTTAGTTTTGGGCTTCTTAAAGGGCAAGACTAATAAAATCTAATTAGTTTAGGTAACATATTTGTGAAATCAAAGTACTATAAGATTTCTTACAAATGTCTAATCAGACAGGTGGAAATTTTTTTCTGGTAAGATGTCACAAGGGAGATGAGGTAAATTTAAAGATAAATGTAATGAAGGTTTCTGACTCAGGTCTTTCCCTATTTCCAAACATGTCAACAAAATAAGTAAAATTGTAAAAAATAATTACTGAATACTATTCACATTGATTACCATTATCAGGAAAAAAGTACACTTTAAACGTCATAAAAGTTTGCTTGTATATGATGTTTTTAATCTTCTGAGCTACAGACTAATTAAGAAGCAATAAATGGAAGAATTAAGATGTACACCAAAAAAAAAAATATATTAGTTCAAGTAATATAATTTAATTGCTTTTGCCCTTACTTTATCATCTCAATATACCATCTTATTCCTGTTTCCAAGATAATTTGTCATAAATTAAAACCAAGCTAACAATAACTTCATCACTAGTACTACTACCTGTCTCAAACAAAAATGACCAAGACAAATCTGGTACAAAAATCTGTAAATCATGATCAAGAGGATTGGTGACTTGTTAAGAAGAGGGTATCCCCAAAATAATGCCAGGGACTAAAACCAGCCAGTTTTCCTGAAGCAAACAAGAAGGTCTTCGTTTGCTGTCAAAAACTACAAACTAGGCTTTAACCAGGGACTGTCAAGGAT